CTAAACAAGGGAGTAATCAAGTTAATCCCCGTGACTCAGACTATGGTAATGTGGCAAGTTAATAACAACTTCAATTTCAAATTGATGATCAAAAACACCAAAATTAGAAAAAATGAAACCAAAAATGAGATAGTGACTGAATTAACTTCACCTTTGCATCTTGCAAATCGACAGTTGTAAAGTGCATTAGCCGATCAATTAAAACATGCTCCACCTGTAATGGATTATTCAAATTTCAAATTCTGAAACAAAAATGAGCTCCCCAATGGCATGATGTAAATGTTAATATTGACTCTCCGATATAAGAGTTGTTTTAAACTAAAATTGTGCCTGTCTGCAGTTATGCTTCAAGTGACCTCAAGATTGTTAGCATTCATGCATAACATATTCAATGCTCAGTAATACTACTATATTAAAGAGCAAGGTAACCTAACCAAATTGACACAAAGACATCAGACAACAAACGAAGAATTTAGAAAGTAGTTGCCTATGTAGAAACTACCATGTTAAATACTTTTTTAGAACAACCTACAATCTGATCAGGTGAATCTATTTGTGGTAGAGAATATATTTCATAAGACTGTAATAAGGGACAGGTATCATACATATGTGCAATTAGGCAACGGTCCTTGATTTTATCACATGTCAGCTTATTTCCACATTGAAGTTCAGTTAAAGGAGTTGATACCTTGTATAGTTGACCTTTATGAACACAAATTTTAAAGGTACATGATATCAATCACCTAGAAGCTTATATTCTGATTAAGTATTTCTAAATGCATTGACTATGACATCAGACACAATATTTCTATTTAATTTCATCAACAAATATTTCATGAATGGTTTATAACATTAAACGACTTAAAGTTAGAAATATATACAAGCATAACAATACTTAGAGATCTATATATATACCTGAGGCACCAACACTATGTAATCATGCACAATCAAGTTAAATAAAAAGGAAACTTTAATGTTGCCAAAGAAAAATAACATTAAGTAAAATGTTGGTAACAAACCAGATACATTTGGAATAAGCACTAATAAGACAAAGACTACGCAACCCGGTCTTATTCAACAGTATAAGAAACAATTGCTTTTTGTAGATGGCAAATGAATACCCACTTGTGAACAAAGCAACTCCTTATAGCTAGCAAGCTCACGAAAGGCATTGATGAACTTGGACATAACTGGCCCTACAAAAGGAAACATTTTTATAAAATTAAGGTTGAATCTTCAATCTTTCAGCAAGGTAAATTATATCTTCAACAGCACATCTTTGAAATCAGGAACATAATTTTCTCTTTCATTTTACATCTTAGTCTTCAATAAGTAACTTAACGGACCAACAGGATAATCTCCCTATCTTCTTCCAGCAGGAAACTCAGCCATCAGATGAGTTGTAGCCAGCAAAAACAAAGAGTATGAACATAACACGGACCAAAACTTGCCAGCAGCCAAACAATGAAACAATAAAACATAGACCACTCTTTCACCAGAGCCTTTTCAAAATTTAAAAAATAAAGGCTTAGATACCCTATGCCGTCTCAATTAAAAATCTCCTGAAGCAAAAGTTCCAAGCAGCTTCCAAACAAAGATCTTAAAAGGTGCCATGGCATTCAAGACACTAATCTAAATAAATATTTGACAAGCACCAGCATCAGCAAAATGTCATAGAGCATAAAGCAACTTATCCTGGTTCAATTTTTGGGGAGTTTTCATGGGTCAGAGGTTACTCGGGTTACTGAAAAGTAAAATCCTCCTAGCTAAATTAATGGGACTATAGCTTCTTTCCCCAGCTAAACAAGCAACTAAAAGACAAAAGCTTCACTGGTCATTAATAATGGTAGAATAGGTTATTAGATTTCTCCTCATCTGAAACACAGAGAAAAGGTAATTTTATAGAAGCTTCTAATTATCATTGTCTTCCAACCTCATTTTTCATATCAGCCACACAACTTCATAAGAAATTATTGGAATATTTTTCTAAAAAATTAAGACCTCAACTGGTTCACCTAAAACCTCAATCGGTTCACCTAGCTCCCGACTCTTGAATAGGAAACATCTTCTACTGAACAAGAATATCTTGGGATTAGCTGGAGAGCTAGATGTATCCACTTATGATCCAACCTTGCTCAAACTTCAGACCCAAGAGCTCTACCTTTAAAGTAAAAAAAAAATCAAATATGTGGCTTCAAGCCTACATCAACCACTCTGAATAAAAGTAAATATTCTAAACATTCACTAAGTAATCTGAAAACTAACTTCATTCCCACCCAATTACATCTCCTAACATTTCTTTGCCTTTATATTTAAATACATTATACTGTAAAAAGATGAACTTAAGGATATAGATGCAACTCAAGTGGTGAGAAAAAAATCACCATTTAATAAAATTTGTTGTGCAAAATGGCAAAAGGAAAATTTGCTAGAATAGGTTATTAGATTTCTCCTCATCTGAAACACAGAGAAAAGGTAATTTTATAGAAGCTTCTAATTATCATTGTCTTCCAACCTCATTTTTCATATCAGCCACACAACTTCATAAGAAATTATTGGAATATTTTTCTAAAAAATTAAGACCTCAACTGGTTCACCTAAAACCTCAATCGGTTCACCTAGCTCCCGACTCTTGAATAGGAAACATCTTCTACTGAACAAGAATATCTTGGGATTAGCTGGAGAGCTAGATGTATCCACTTATGATCCAACCTCGCTCAAACTTCAGACCCAAGAGCTCTACCTTTAAAGTAAAAAAATCAAATATGTGGCTTCAAGCCTACATCAACCACTCTGAATAAAAGTTAATATTCTAAACATTCACCAAGTAATCTGAAAACTAACTTCATTCCCACCCAATTACATCTCCTAACATTTCTTTGCCTTTATATTTAAATACATTATACTGTAAAAAGATGAACTTAAGGATATAGATGCAACTCAAGTGGTGAGAAAAAAATCACCATTTAATAAAATTTGTTGTGCAAAATGGCAAAAGGAAAATTTGCTGAATGGCTTTTGGCTTTCTGCCATTGATTATATACAGTAGTTTACACAAGAAATGTTAATTTGACGTCAGAAACACACAAACATGCAGAGTATGATGAAGATTACATTCATATCCAGTAATTGACAAAACTGGTAACAATAGAAGAAAAGGTTGTTGACATTAACTAGTAAAAAACAACTCAACTAACTGGAGATGTAGTCAAAAGAATTGAATAGAAAGAGACATTGGCTACCTCCTATGGACGCACTAATAGGATCATCTTGTCCGCAACCAAATACTTCTAAAGAATCAGCAAAGCTATTGTCTGCATTATATGCTTCTCCAAGAGCTGTTCTGCAAAGGAAATAGAGACAGAGCAAAATAAATAGATAAATATATATGTAAAGAGAATGAGTGAAAGATATTAGATAATTCTTCTTATGTTTTACAATTTAAGTCACTAAAGTGAGCCCTTGAGCCTTGTTACATCCTTTTATTTTATTGGTTTTGGGCAATAAAACTATTTAATGTTTGTTATTACAGCTGAAATTATATAACAAGAACAGAGAGAGTGCAAATTAAAGATTAGATGCTAATGGAAATAAGACAACAAAGATGCATTTGTATTGTATACTAAAATTTGAACCCAAAATCTAGCCCCAAACTTGCTAAGAAATTGATGCTTTTGCATGGAACTTTGAGCACATTTAAAACATATTGTCAATCTATGTTACTCAAACTTGAGTGTCGGTGTCAGATAGGGTATTCATCCGGAAAAGATATGTTCAAACTTCTAAAAGCTTTTGAATATATTCAGATATTCATGCATAAATGATCACTAAAGAAAAATGAGCAAGGCAATCAATCAGAACTGCACTAATATACTAAGAACGTAGCTTACTAGTCAGAAATCATAAGTCTCCATAAATTATAACAGAAAATAATTTAATCCATGCATTTGTAGCATAAGTAAATAAGTGAAAATAGAATGAGAAAAAAATGCACACCTATACGTTATACTTCCCTGGGTCAGCATTTGACAGCGGCTTTTCAATTCATCAGCCATGGACTCTAGAGAACATATCTGTTCAATCAAAAAACACAACAGGTTTACTTTTCAGAAATAAAGAATATTGGAATGACAAACTGCCAATCAACGCAGATTCAATGGAAATTTGATTACTCGGTAAACAGAAGAAAATCAATGAAACGGATTCACACGCGATTGATTGACTAATAAACGAATTTGAAAATATCGATAAACAAATAAATATAATTCTAGAATCACAAATGTTAAAGAATATCGAATTCCGGAGATACCTGTTTTTGAAACATGGGGGAATCTTCTAGCTTGATAAACGCCGCCATTGCTAGTTTGCTTCTTTTCTCCGAAACTCGACACTGCAAAATCTCAGGATCTCACTCTCGGATCCAGAAACGAATATCTTAGAAAGCAATTTCTTGTCGCTGTTGATTTTTTTGTTGTTGTTGTTGCTGATAATTTGTCGCTGTTGAATTAAATTATAAAGAAATCATAACTTAACGTTTGGTGGATATGAAATTTCATTTGTTTGCAGACCAGGGGTCTCTCTCCGGGTCTATATATTGTGGGCTCAAAACTGAGTCCATATTGAATCGGGCCTTTATAGTTTACATATTTTTTTTTTCTAAATTTAGATATTATCAGTTTGAACTACATATATTTGATATTACAGATCCATGCGATTTGTAAACCTTTATCTGAATCCTAGAATTCAACTTGTAAAACATTAGTGAATTTTACGCTTTTATAAAATCCTAGCAACCAGTTACCATCGCAAACCCAGCTAAAGATTTTCTTCACTTTATGGGATTTGTAGTTAACTTCATATAATGAAAGTTTCGTTGAGAGTGCAACCTTTCCAGGTTGATCTGAATGTTTTCTTACGTATGAAATGATAAAATCTAAACCCTAAACTCGAAACTCTAAAATCGAAGTGAACTCGATTCAACACAATCGAAATAGAACTAAAAGTTCAATAAATAAAACTATTCCCACCATGAAAGTAGCTTTAACATTCTAAACATGCAATTAAAAAAATAGTAAAAGACTTTACATTACAATTCTAAATGGTTGAAGAATAGTTTAAATGGGAAAAAAATACATAACTAAATTCAATGGCCTACCAAATCTAAGCTGTCACAGCCTTTTTTTATATGCTTAGATGTTCCTCTCTAGGCAAGCTCTGAACAGTGTCCGACCACCGTCCCGGGGAATGATCGCTACTGTTTGACGATACATGAGCCTCGGCCCTCACATCTTTTATCATCTTCAAAACTTCCCTCATTGCAGGCCGGTTATCCGGTGCAATCGCAATGCAGGTCATTGCAACGTTCAAGAGAGCTTGAAGCTTCCCTTCGGATGCTTCGTTACCAGAGTTAGGCTCATCGCCGGACTCAGTCTCTTCTTCTCGGACCGTCCGTACCCATGCAGGAATATCCAAACCGTGTTCTTGTACAAGGTCCTGGAATGGAGTTTTGCCTGTTAAGAGCTCCAGGAGAAGGACACCAAAGCTGTAAACATCAGCCGGTTGAGTCGACGATTTCCGGATGTCCCTGCATTCGGGTGCCTTGTAGTAAAATGTAGCGGCACTAGGTTCTCCGACTGAGTCGGTATCTCGGAACATAGTGAGACCGTAATCTGTGAGGCAAGATTCGAAATCAGGACCTAGTAACACATTAGAGGATTTCAAATTCCCGTGAGTTAGGCCTGGATTTTGGTGAATATAAAGCAATCCAGTAGCCAAATCCTCAGCTATTTTCAGACATGATGTCCAATGAAGAGGCTTTCCACTACCACAATTTCTCGTTCCTACAAGGAAAGTCAATAAAATAGGTTAAAACTTGAGGGGGCGTATTATTATAAATGTTAAAATTTGAATCTCAAACGAAACATATTCGAATATCAGTACGAAAGTATAGTTCCTTAAATGTATATAAAAATATGATAAACTATGTATTTAACCACTCACTTATTTCAACAATTTCATCTTACCTAACGTTGTTCAGTTTTGTTCATCCGTGGTAAAAAAAATTCCAGACATAATATTTTTTTTATTATTTTCAAAGATAATGCGACATTACCCAATGATGACATGTCAATATCATCATTAATTTTTAAACGGTAGTTGACCAGAATGGAACAAAGTATGATTTTGAGGGAAAAATAGTTAGATGACTAAAACAAAATTGTAATAATAGATAGCTGACTAAATATGTAATTTGGCCTGGAAAATATTAAATATGTATTATGCAATATACATACTTATATTGAATGCAACGAGCTCGAATGCAAAATAATGCAGAGTGGGGCAACCGACAACAATAACATGCTGGGGTGGTCAGACTCAATGAGTTGTCATATTATAGCAATTCACCCTTTTAGAAGTTCAGCTTTGTTTAAAAATGGCTAAAAATGGCCGTCCCTTTTTCTCATATGTATGGGATAAGGGGAGGTAAGATAGTAGGCTACCCTCAAAATCAGATTGAAATCAGTTTCCGTAAGAGACCTCTGAATAAACAAGTCACCCTCAACACACGAATTTCCTTTATATATATCAAATTTCAAAGGAAAAAAAGAAAATGCCATATCTCAAATATTTCCATGAATTTGGTTTTTTATTTAATTAAAAGAATATTTACTGAAACGCTTTCAAATTATTTCTTTTCTAAGAAAAGAAAAATAACCCCTTGAACAAAAAACAAAAAGAAAATTAACCCAATAATAATAGAAACAAAGAGGCTTTTAAGCAAATGTGGGCCTTGGACTGTACGCAAATAAAAAAACACACGAGGTACTTACTTTCCAGGAAACACACTAAACAGTCGGCAATATCATGCACGGAATCAATATAAAAATAATTGAAATATAATAAAAATGATATAAATATATACATTTTCAAAAATTAAAACTATTAAATATACAATTCGTTAAATGACATAACACGGCCAAACTAGTTTACCAACGAGGGCATAAGCAATCTATGTCCATCTGATTATTATTAATATTTTAAAAGATAGATATAAAAGTTTATAGTATTTAAATATATCCGTTTCATTCAAATTTTAAACCTTTTTTTCAACAAAGACCACCATTTTTGTCGAGATCTCCCCCAGGGCCCTACTTCACTTTATTAACAGGAATTTAACTCTTTTTTTCCTTTAAGATTAAAAAAGACAAATAAATACATGTCTTTAAATAATTATTATTGCATATTATGCCCTAAACACATGTCTTTTCAACTCTTTGGCTTCCCATTTATTGTTCTCGAAGTTCAAGGTTCAAAAGAAGAAAACTGCTTGAAACTTAAAAGGGACTAATAAATACACTGTGACGAGAAGGGTTATAAATTATTTAAAATTTGAAAATTCTATAAAGTTTTATGTATTCAATTTGATTTGATTCCACTTTGATTATATTATTTTAATTAAATAATCTTAAAAATAGAAACACATAAGAAACAGAAATAGTCGAATAAACGAAATTCGATAGTCACCGACGTACCGTGGATGAGAGAATAGAGGCTTCCGTTGGGGAAATAATCGTACACGAGCAAGCGTTCCTCTTTGGCTTGGAAATAAGCTCTAAGCGGGACCAAGTTAGGATGTCTGAGCCGTCCGATCAAATCCACGTGTCTCTTAAACTCCTCTAATCTCGGATATCTAGCATCTTTCAACCTTTTCACGGTCACGATGAACCCGGATTCCATCACCGCTTTGTACGTACTCCCCATCGTACCCCTCCCCAATGTCTCCGCCGATGCCTTCAGCAGATCTTCTAAGCTGTAATTCATTTGCTGATCGCCTGTGCCCAAGAACACCAAACTCCCTAGACCCTCACTCTCCCAAAACCCCCCTTGTTTCCCACTGTTATTACTTCCCATGCCACCACTCCCTCCACCGCCGCCGCTCACCGCCTCTTCTCCTTCCATCCCTTCCACATTAGCAACCCCTTTGCTTTTAACATCCTTTCCCTTTCTTCCCCCTTTGCAAGCAAAACAAACCAAAAACACACAAATAAGTAGCAGAGAAAACCCGCCTGCAACGCTTCCTATTATAATCTTGATCAAGTTGGAATGCTTTCTCGATTTGGGACTCGACACATTGGGGTAAATGGGACTCATTGCCGGTCCGAAATTGATCGTTCGACATGGGTTTTCAATCTGTTCGCCGCAAAGATCAATGTTACCAGAAAACGAAGAAATGTTGAACCGAACCAGAGCTGAGGTCACAGGGATTTGACCGTGGAGTTGGTTGTTTGAAACATTGAAGAATCTAAGACCGGTTTGGTTCAAAGCTGGAATTGCACCTTTGAACTCATTGTCTTGCAAGTAAAGAGTGTACAATCTTTTGAGGTTGAGTAAAGAAGCAGGAATTCGACCCGTGATTCGGTTACCGGACAAAACAATGGTTTTCAACCGATGTAAGCTCGTAATGGATTCTGGGAATTCGCCGGTGAAGTTGTTGTCGTTGAGAAAAAGGGATTTGAGATTGACTAAGCCGGAAAGGTCAGGGATTTGGCCGGAAATGGAGTTGCTTTTGAAACTGAGAACCCGAATTTGATCCAACCGGTTCAAGCTCTGTTCATCTAAGGAACCAGTTAAGTTTAAGTGTTCCAAAACAAGTTTTGTAACTCGTCCGTTTAAGCATTCCTTGATTCCTTTCCATGCACATACATTGGTCCCTTTCCATGGCAATGAGTTGAAAGGATCAATGGACGATTTCAGGGCCAAAAGTGCCTCTGCATCCCCTGATCTGACAACCGGGATAAGAGAAACGAAAATGGTGAAGACGAAGAAGGAAAGAAAGCAGTACCTTGACACAAAAGGTTCCATTTTTCGAGCCCAATGATCTTCAACTCATCGTATTTAAAACATTTGTTTTCCAAAAATAAAACACCCAAAATCCCCGCTATTCACCAAAATCACAGCCCGAACTCCTAATCTTCAGATCCACCATTGAAAAGCCCTGAGAAAAAACCCCACCACACTGGCATTTATGGTGAAAGAGGATTGGGAGCGGCTACATTGGCATTGCAATGGTGAAATAGGTTTTACTGCTGTCTCGAACTCGTTATTTGCAAAACTCACGGACAACGCAGCGTAATCTTCACGTGAAATCTGAGAACTCGCAGACCATAATATTATATGTATTTTCAACTTATGGATTCTATTATATTCCCGAAACTGCAGTATCTAGAAAATAAACAAACTTTTAAAAAATGAGTCAAATTTATAAATAATTTTGGGCTGCTCAAACGTCGTTTACCATTGTTGGAACTTCGATAATCATGGGATCCAATATTGCCCCCCATTTTCATTTGATAGTTTGTTGAATGATACATAGAAAGCTGGCATTTTTCTCACTGCTTAATCATTCTGCTAAAACCAGCAACGGCCCAGAACTTGAAAATCTTCAATCAAATGATTGGAGCAACCAAAAATCATTAAAAAAATATAAAGAAATTTACTAATGCCATATATAATCAAAAACAGTAAGAACACCATCCTTTGTCAGATCAAAATCAACTTTTTTTTCCTTTGAAAAGAAAAGAAGACTTTGAGAAAAACAAAAACATGTAAGGAGTTTCAGAGGTAGAGAGAATAGATGTACCTGCGTTGAATTCAATAACTCAAGAGAGAGAAGCTGAGTTTCTGAGTAGACTCGAGAAATGGGTGAGGGAATTGAAAGCCAATGCGGATGAAGAGAGACAGTAATAATGTTGAGCTTCTCATGCCATTCAAAAAATGCTTAATTGCCTGACATATGTATTATTTATTGAGATACACGTGGCAAAAGTTGTTTAATGAAAAGTGAGCTTCCTCTTTTATTTATAAAGTTTAAAAAAACAATTATTTTCTTAAATAAATTAAAGTATTTATATCTTAATAATTTTTTATATGAATTATTGTGTGACTTATCGGAAGTTAAAAGCAATTTTGGGTTGATTTTTCTGAAGTAAAATAGTAAACCATATTTTATATTTTTCGACAAGCAAAGTCATAAATATATGGGTAAATTATTTATTTTGTCCCTCAATTATTACTATATTTTCGTTTTAGTAATCAAACAATTTTTAATAAATTTATCACTAATATTACGTTTTTTATTCTAGTCATTGATCATTAAATTTTGGCTTAAGGGTAACTTTTACCCCTGTAGTAAATCCAAATTATTAATTTCATCTCTATCGTATTTTCGTATCAATTTAACTCTTGAAGTTATTTAATTGCATCATATCATATCGTTAATCGTTTTAACTATCGGAAGCGTTAGTTTCTACTAATGTAGATACTAATTGTTTCCACATCAATCAATATTATTGACATGACTTGATGATGACATGACATTTATTAAAAATAAAAATATTTTAAATATTAGAACCATAAATTTCTAACCCATTACAAGACATAATCAGACCATCAACATTTATGGCCTCAGAACAGTAAATGAACCCAATCGATTCATCAATCCTATCCAATCGATGGTTTAACGACATACAACCGAATACTCATCTACCTAAACTCTTGGTAAACTTTCACCAAACCAATAGCTATAGCAGACGATTGATGGCCTCCTCAACAACAGTCACGCCCTCGATCGACGATGACAACTGCAACCATAGTTGTCCTTATCTTTCACATGGCTACCTGCAAAGTAATAACCCCAAAATCAACATTAATCAAAGCAGGAAGAAGAGAAATAAAAAGGTCAACAGGGTGAGTTTATCATTTTTCGACGATCTAGACGTTGGTTGGAAGATCTGTGTGGTAGAAAGGTTGGAATGGCATCAAGGAGCAACATTATGTGAAGATGGCTCCATCTGACAATTGTCGGCAACGAAAGGAAGTATTTTGTTTTGAGGAAATCAATTGGTTTTTGCTAAAGCTACGATGACCCGCTATGTATTCAAGTGATCGAAGGTTGAATTTGTGAGAGGAGCATGTGCCGATTTTGATGATGTATTTTAGGTCTAGAACAGTGGTCGACAACAGCAGTTGACGCGAAAATCACCGACGGTCAAAAGTAGTCGGTGAGTGACCGATGGAGCAACCATACCTGAGAGTGGAGAGCACGATTGAGCTTGGATACTAGGTATTAGCTCCTTTGATGTTGATAATGCTCTAAGAGAATAAAATTTATGATTGTCCAAATTGGACCAAGTGACAATTGTCTGTTGTCCTAGAGTCGATACATGGGTTTATGGTCTTAGGGCCCAATAAGTGGCTTAGTGACATAAGGGTATTAATGTGGCCTTAGTGGCGTGAGCATAGTTGCTTATGTGGATTTAGTGACGTGAGCATAGATACTTGTGTGGCCTTAATGACGTTTGTAATGTTAAATATCGATGCATAACTGTGGTGGCACTCGAATACCATAAAATTATGCGGCTTTAGTAGTGTTCATAAAAAAATCGGACATCAGATATATAATTATGTGGCCTTAGTGGCGCGATCTTGATGGATATTTCGAGATTATATATATTTTTATACTCGATGTTAGGTAAGGTTGAGAGATGACATATTGATACATGGATATGCTTTATTGCCTAGGTGACTTATTGATAATAGTTCATGGCTAGGCCCTCAGTTATAAACTAGGGAAAGCATAGGACTTATTCTTGAGAAGATTGTAATGCCTTGTTATATGACATTCATATACTTGCTGTCATTTTATATTTTCGTATGTTCATATTTATGACATTTATGATATGATAATAGAATTAGGGATATATTATTGAGCGTTTAGATTTTTTCGTTTGCATATTAATTGACTCAATGATATGTGGAGCACCGTCATCACATAATTTCCAACAACTACTTTTAAGATATAGTTCTGAGTATTGTAGTAGACATTAATATCCTTAGGACCTTTACATCTATTCAGCTGGTAAAACCTTAATTGTTTTGAGATTGTATTTTGAAAAGTATTATGTCGGAGCTCCAGATTTGTAAATACTATATTAATGTTTTGTGAAATTTGATGGATTTTAATTATTTATGGATGAAATATTTAGGGGGGAAATTATAGTAATGATCTATTTTAGTGATCCGATGTAAGACTTTGAACTCGTATAAATTTAAGGTGTAATGCATACTTGGTACTATGATTATAGAATTATTCTAACTTCTTCTTCCTCATCGTCGTCACCATCACCATAATACACCTTGCAACGACCTTTGATTGTCATATGTTTCCTAACAACTGCTAAGCTAACTATGGAAGTAAAAATAAACAATATAAACTATAAAAGTAACAGAAAGGTCAAAATAAATATATTAATCCACTGTTTAATAAGAATACATATACCAAATGTCTACCAGTAAAACTTAAGTCTTTTGCTAAGTAACGATTCATACAATCAAAAGCAAAAGCAAACAACGTTTTTGAACGTGCCATTGTATAGCTCTCTCGACTAGAGGGCAAGTGTTGCACTTTTTTTGGAGCTCACCGAATCACTTAGAGAAAGGGACGATTAAAGGGGATCCACCACCTAACATAACAAGAAGAATAAACTCAAATTATCAGACCTTGAGCTCCTCGACCTGTAATCCAAAATCATCATACTACATTATAGATTAGGAGTAAGTACCAAGAGAAGACAAAAGAAGACTATTGTGAAGACTTAACTTTAGACATCGCTCTTAGTGATTCTTCACCTACATCAATTGGTGTGAACCATTACCATCACGCTAACCTTCTTCATATGTAACCCCTTAAACCATTATCTCATCTGTACATCAACAATAATATATATATATATATATATATAGGATTATGATCCACTTACACGATGTAAAACACTTTAGTTTTACACATATTTAGGGCCGTTTGATGAGTGATAATAGATGGCTGAGATTGACTGTTTGTTTTTTTTTTCCAGTGAATATTTTCTTGTTTCCTACTCTTAATCTTAGCCATCTATTTTCATTTATTCAACTGTCCTAAATCTATGTAAAACTAAAAGAGTTTTACATTGTGTAACAAGATCTTATCTCATGTGTGTGTATATATAGAAAAATACGTATTTGGATAACAAAATAAAAGAATTCAAAAAGTGATTTGAACGATAAAAAGTGATTTTTTAGATGACCTAAATTTAAGTAACATTTTTACACAGCGTATTTTGAGTTTATGTTTTTTTTATTCCATTGAACAACTTCAATAATAAAATGGAGTGTTGTTCTTTTTAGACGTCTCGAGTTCGAGCAATTGTGTCTGTCAAAGTGTACTCGATGACTAAAATAAATTATAAACATATATTACATTATAATCACATAGAATATTAAAAAATAAAAAATAATAAATATACTAACCTGAAAAAAAATACACTCGTGGGTTCCATGATTTCACTAACCTAACAAAGTAACAAACAACACCAAGATGCAAAATTGAAGCTCTTGTCGGAAGAATCCCCCACCTCACCTTCGCTGCATGAAAGAAAGCCTCCACGTATCTTTTTTTTATTGCAAATTATACAGTATATAATATAACTACCCTCCCCCTATTATGTAAAAATTTTATCACAAAATTAACAATGACACTCTTAGCAGCTTCCTTGGCGATTACTCTTATTATGGCTACCGGAGGGTGAGAGATGATAGTCAAGGATAGACCGAGGAGTGTTGGGGCAGTCATCTCTTTAAAAAAAAAATCAAATTCTTATATTTTTTAGATTTTTTTGTATTTTCTATCGATAATATATTTTTATCCCTTAAAATTTTATAACTTCGTTCCTTAACATAAGATCCTGAATTGGTAGCTGTCAACAGCTGTGGTTATGCTGTGGGGAATTGGAGTCGAACGAGGTGCACCAGCGGTGCATGGTGGTGAGACGGATGGAAGGTTT